GTTCAGTTCTAGTTCAGTTCAAGGTCAGTTCTATTTCTGTTCTAGTTGAGTTCTAGTTCAGTTCTAGTTCAGTTCTAGTTCAGTTCTAGTTCAGTTCTAGTTCAGTTCTAGTTCAGTTCTAGTTCAGTTCTAGTTCAGTTCTAGTTCATTCTAGTTCAGTTCTAGTTCAGTTCTAGTTCTGTTCTAGTTCAGTTTTAGTTCAGTTCTAGTTCAGTTCTAGTTCGGTTCTAGTTCTGTTCTAGTTCAGTTCTAGTTCAGTTCTAATTCTGTTCTCGTTCAGTTCAAGGTCAGTTCTAGTTCAGTTATACATAGTTCTAGTTCAGTTCTATTTCTGCCCTAGTTTAGTTCTAGTTCAGTTCTAGTTCATTTCTAGTTCAGTTCTAGTTCAGTTCTAGTTCAGTTCTAGTTCAGTTCTAGTTCAGTTCTAGTTCAGTTCTAGTTCAGTTCTAGTTCAGTTCTAGTTCAGTTCTAGTTCAGTTCTAGTTCAAGTTCAGTTCTAGTTCAAGTTCAGTTCTAGTTCAGTTCTAGGACAGTTCAAGGTCAGTTCTAGTTCAGTTCAAGGTCAGTTCTAGTTCTGTTCTAGATCTGTTCTAGTTCTGTTCTAGTTCTGTTCTAGTTCTGTTCTAGTTCTGTTCTAGTTCTGTTCTAGTTCAGTTCTAGTTCAGTTATAGTTCAAGTTCAGTTCTAGTTCAAGTTCAGTTTTAGTTCAGTTCAAGGCCAGTTCTAGTTCAGTTCAAGGTCAGTTCTTGTTCTGTTCTAGATCTGTTCTAGTTCTGTTCTAGTTCAGTTCTAGTTTAGTTCTAGTTTAGTTCAGTTCTAGTTCAGTTCTAGTTCAGTTATAGTTCAGTTCTATTTCAGTTCTAGTTCAGTTCTAGTTTAGTTCTAGTTCAGTTCTAATTCAGTTCTAGTTCAGTTCTAATTCAGTACTAGTTCTAGTTCAGTTCAAGGTCAGTTCTATTTCTGTTCTAGTTGAGTTCTAGTTTAGTTCTAGTTCAGTTCTAGTTCGGTTCTAGTTCAGTTTTACTTCAGTTCTAGTTTAGTTCTAGGTCAGTTCTAATTCTGTTCTCGTTCAGTTCTAGTTCAGTTATACATAGTTCTGTTCTAGTTCAGTTCTATTTCTGCCCTAGTTCAGTTCAGTTCTAGTTCATTCTACCTCAGTAATAGTTCAGTACTAGTTCAGTTCTACTTTAGTTCTAACTCAGTTCTAGTTCAGTTCTAATTCAGTTCTAGTTCAGTTCTAGTTCAGTTCTTGTTCAGTCCTAGTTCAGTTATAGTTCTGTTCTAATTCAGTTATAGTTCATTTCTAGTTCAGTTCTGCTTCTGCCAAAGTTGTGTCCTAGTTCTGTTCTAGTTCATTTCCTGTACAGTTCTAGTTCTGTTCTGGTTCAGTTGTAATTCAGGTCCAGTTCAGTTTTAAATCAGTTCTAGTTCATTTCCAGTACAGGTTTAGTTCTGTTCTAGTTTAGTTCTAATTCTGTTCTAGTTCAGTTGCAATTCAGTTCAGTTTTAGATCAGTTCAGTTCTAATTATGTTCTAGATCTGTTCTAGTTCTGTTCTAGCTCTGTTCTAATTCTATTCTAGTTCAGTTCTGTTCCAGATCATTTCTAGTTCTGTATTAGTCCAGTTAACTTTTATCTTTTCCTTTCATATTAAGTTTTTTTTTTTTAATCTTTTTAAACTTATTTTCTCAAAATAACTTTGCTTTATTTAAAACATAACCTCAAAGCAGTTTAAAAACATCCGAACAAAACACCTTAGTTAATAATTAAAAAATAACATTTTGAAACGCGCAGCAAATTTAAAATTGTAAAAAATTAACTGAAACAGATAATTAAATATAAAAAACTTGTATTATATAAGAAAAATATAAATTAAAAAAAGTAAAAAAAAAAAAATATTTTCAATAAAAAAACGAGAACAACTATTAAGAGAACAAAATATAAACAAAGAAAAAGAGTTTGAAATTGGGGATAAAAACTAGAAAAGGTAATGAATGAACTTTCAAAGACACTACAAACTCAACTAGACAACAGACTAGTCCATTAACTACACCATAGAGTACTCTCTAGATTACACAACAGCTCATTTATTAATCTATTTCTTCTATTATTGATTTTCCTTAGTTTTTAACAACAATATTTATTAAAGTCTTAATAAACAAATACAATAAAATAGTAACATTTCATCTTAAGTAACTAATTAATAACACTACTACTTATATTTTCTATCCTCTACTTCATCCTCCGGCAAATAATCTTCAGCCTCAAATAGCTGCCGCTGACGTGTGCTCAATACCAAGTCGGCATAATCGCCTTGTTCTCCAGCATATTCATCATAAATATGATGATCGGATTCTCTAAACTTTTTACGTTCCGGAGTATTACGTCTCTCCTTACGTTTAGCTAGAAAAGCCTCAAATTTCTCAGAATTAGCAGCCGCCTTAGCTAATTTTTCATTTATTTTGTTTAATTGCTCAAAGGAGGTAGAGGGTATAGAGGAGGTAGTTGTATGATCCATCTCGGTAGATTGATTTTGTAAATGTTGATCCCAGGCCTGTGTAGATTTACGCATTTTTGTTAAAATCTTCAACATAATACCTTTATGGTCTAAACCCAAAACATCATGCCTCATTTCGGGTACATTTGCATCTATTTCTGGCAGTTTAAGTAAATTTTCTTGGTTTTCTTCTTTAATTTCCAAAATTTTGGGTTTATTTTCTAAGTTACCGGCACCATAAAACTCTTGCTTCATAGTTTCTGCCGCATGTTTATTTAAATAATCTATATCTTCTTTTCCCTCTTTTTCTTCCTCTTCCTCTGCACCAAAATCCATATTTTTCAACAAAGCCTCTACTTGATTCATATTTGTATATAACTTATCCTTAACAAACTTAATACGCGGCACTACACCCATTAGTCCCAGCTGTGAGAGTTCATGTCTCAACAAACCCGAGCAACGTTGTAATTCGTGCTCCAGCAAAGCATCTTTCCCTGGTTCGCCGGTAGACAACCAAAATACATTAACATAAGCAAAATCCTGGGAAATTTTCACTCTAGACACTTGCAATCCCTTGCCCAATATGGTGTCCGATATTTCCCCGGTGGCCATGAGATCTGTTACATGTTTCATAAACAATTTATTTAAAACAGTCATGCGGCGTGTGGCATTTTTGCCTCCTCCATTGGGTTTTTTGCCAAATTGTGATTGTTTAAACATAACACTATTACTGCCGGGTTGTGAAGATTCCGTGGAGGGAAACCAACGTTTTTTACTGCCACTAACACGATCTCCAAAAAGTTTACCCATTATTTTTCCTTGGCGAAAAATGGCAGTATTTTTGTTGTAGAGAACATGATTTTGCACATGAATTAATCTCGGTTGTTGTGGTGTTTGCGAGGCGGGAATTAAGAGTTTTATTATTGGTTTACTTTTTCCTTGATTTCGTAACATTTTTGTTTTAGTTTCTTTGTTTATAGTAAAATTTAGTTATTTAGTATATTTTATAATAAATAAAACCACAAATACTGTGGTGTGTGGTTTTCTATTCTTGTGTTGATTTGTTTGCGGGTGGGAGTGTGAGAGGGGGGTTTGTTTACCTTTACAGCTGTTTTGTTGCAGTAAAAAAGTGTTGTTAAGTGTTTGTTTTCACTAAAAGTGTTGTAAAGTGTTTGTTTTTTCGTTTTGTTTATGTTTTGACAATTGTTGTCCTTTTGTTCCATTAGTTAAACAAATTAAAGGTTATTTTAAAAAATCAACTAATTTGTGTTTAATTTCAATAATAATTACTTTTATTATTACATAGTTCAATAATAAAATACTATTCCTACTCAATTACATTGGCGGTATGTTAAAATTAGTTTTGGCTTTTCTTTTATTTTTAATAAAAAGTTTAACTACTTTGTGTATATGAATATGGATTTGTTTCCTAATGGCCGTTAGGTTTTCAAAAATAATTCAGCTATGTTTGCACTTTATTTCTGCCAAATTTTATAAAAAAATTGTTATAATTTTAGAAATTATTTATATTTATTTCAAAATTTTTTAACCTAAAAAAAATTAAATATTATTCTTTTAATTGCATTCCAATTAGAAGGGTTCTCTATTTAAAGGTTCTTTATCTTCGTTCCTAGTTGGGCGTTAAGCTAATATTCCTCTTTATCATTTAAAAAATATTTCTATTTATGTAAAACTCCCTAACCAATTGTGGGAAAATGCGCCAATAGTACCGCTCTACTGCCGATTATACTGTCTGTTAGTAGGAATTGCACATCAAATAACTCTTATTCTAGCATCTTCTTTTTTAATTTTTTTGATTTTCATAGGAGAGCTTTTCTTCGGGGAAATTATTCATAACGTCTGAAGACTTTTTCAAAAACAATACAATTTCTGCAGGTATTGCAACAAAAACAAACATTTTGTCAATAAAATACAAACAAATTTTTATTTTTTATTTAAATTTTTATTAAAATGTTTTCCAAAGTTTTAAAATTCTGTAAAAAATATTAAAAATTTATAAAATACAAATGATTCTTGAAACTTTTAGATGGCCCGGGCTGCATTTCTTGATTGCTTCTATAGGTTTCAAAGATTTTGCTTCATTTTGGCTGTAATTTGAAAATAAACAAAAATAAATTTATTAGTAATTTTGTATAATTTTTGAAAAGTTATTCTTTTGTAATGAAAATCAGTTAAAAAGTTAACATCAACGTTAGTACAGTCGAAAGATGGTAATGATTATGATCATCATTAAAAAGAATTTAAAATAAAGAAAATTTTGAATAAAACTTACCTTTTGTTTAAAGACAGCTTGTAGAATGTCAGCCAAATTCCTCCAGTAATCCAATTAATCATCCAAATTTACCCTAAAAAAAGCTGAAATTTCCCAATAAAAAACAAAACCTAACCTAGAAATGAACTAAATTTTGAAATTTCCAAAAAGATTTTTGAAAAAAATCTTTGATCTAAACAAAACTATTTAAAACTTATACAAATTTATAGAATTTTTTTCTTTAACGTGTAAAAACTTGCAATTTATTCTACAGTTTTATTTCACAGAAATAAAACTCTCATTTTTTTTTAAAATACAAAATTTTGTACAGGTTTAAAATTTAAACAATTATCTTAAATTCTTTGGCAAAAAGAAAATCGTCAAATTGTTTTAAACCGGCTGTAATGAAGGCTGGTTGGGTAAGGAATGAGCTGGGGTAGAAAACCAAGCTGTTTGGTTGAAGAGGCTAAAAGAGAAAAAAGAAAAATGTATATTAGACCAACAATTTACAAAAATGTAAGATTTTAAAAAATTTTATAAAAAAAATCAGTAAAACTTATATAGCATCAATGAATGTACAGTCGAAAGATGGTGTAAGTTTTGTTCATCATGAAAAATTACCCAAAAATCTAAGAAAATTTAGGAATAAAACTAAATTTACTAGATTTTTTCGGAAAATATCTTAATAAATCTTAATAAATGTTTACAAAAGATTTATAAACAAACTAAATTTTGATAAAATGTTTACATTTTTAAGCTTGAATAGATAACAAACCGGATTAAAGAAAGATTTGTTTACATTTCTGATCAAAACCAAAACAACAAACAAGTCGCCCCCCCATTTACCCCCCTTATTTATACTAACATGACTCACACACAAACAACACTCACCTTTTGACAAGCTTTTGCACGTTGCAGACCAAGTTGTGGTGGATGTTAATGGTGGCGATTTCAAGATGTTTAATCGAAAAGACCGAAACCCATATCGTCATCTTCAGATTCGGATTCTTCCTTCTTCTTTTCTTCTTTCTTGGCTTCTTCCTTCTTGCCAGCGGCTTCACCACCAGCGGCGGGAGCAGCAGCAGCGGCAGCAGCACCACCGACGGGCATGGAAGACAATTTGTCGCGACCGGAGGCGATCAATTCTTCGATGGACTTGCCAGTCAATTCGCTGACAACTTTGGTCAAACGTTCGCTGTCAGCTTCAATACCAACAGAGCTGAGGATCTTTTCGATATCAGCATTTTTGGGGGCTTCCAAACCGCCGAGAACAGCCAACATGTATGCAGCCACGTAACGCATTCTACAAGAAAAACCATATCAACAGAAAAATTAATAAATTTCACAAAATTAACAACAATTTTGTCTATAAATCACAATTTTTCTCTTTTCTTTTTCACATGCTGCTTTTTTAAGCTTTATTTATCTTTAACATCTTTTCATAAAAACACTTTTATTTCTTTTAATATTCTTTAAAACACTTTCAATTATTATTTTAATCTTATTTCTCTATTTTTTTAATAAAATTTACATACTTTAAGCCTTAGTTTTGACACGAAACGCGTACAGCACAAGAAAAAACACAACTTTCGTTTAAAAAATTTAGAACGAAAAGAAAGCTGTCAGCTAGTTGACATTTGTAGGTAACTTCCGCTTTCTGACATATACTTTAATATTGAACAGTAATTGTTTACAACGAAGTTGGCTGCAGTTGTTAAATGGTAAGGCCGTGAGATAAAACAGTGTTTCTTTAAGGTAATAATGTGTTTTTTTAATAAAATTTTATATTTTTATGTAAATTTTGTTAAAGAAATTGTTGAAAAATTATGGTAAAATAAAAAAAATTCAATTTGTTCAATACTATTTTTAAATAATCATGTTTTAAGTTGATTTTTTAAAATTATCATTAAAAATTCTACTTTTTAACAAAAAATCGATTCCAATTCTATTTACAAAAAATTTGGAATAATACAATATCATTTTTTTAATATTCTTTTGGTATTCGCCCGTTGTATTAAATATTATTTTGCATTTACTTAAAATATATTATATATTTTTTTAGTTTTTTTGCAAATAGTGAAAGTAAAAAAGTTGTCTTATTTTACCATTCGACCAGATGAATTACATTTTTATAGTATTTAGCTAGCTATGTAAATAAAAGTAATTTTATAAATTTTCTGAAGAAATAATAATTTTTAATAAAAAAATCTGTCTATATGTAACTGAATGTAGCTGAATAAGATTTTTAAGACAATTTAACAAAGAATAGTTGTTTGAATGATTAATTTCACCAATTAGGTAGCTGAAAAGCCATAATTTTTAGATTTTTTTTATTATTGCAGTATATTTTTTAAGTTATTTTATACAAGTTGCAAAATTAACTTTTATACAGTTATTTTATAAATATTTTCCTAAGATTATTATTGTTTTTTTACTTAAACTTTAAATTTATCTAGCTATTCAGCTTGCTGAATTAGATTTTTAAAACGTATTTTTGCTTAGTTTCAGCAAATTCAGCTAGCTTAATAACAACTTTTTCTCTTTTTACTACATTTTTAACTCTTTTTATATTAATTGAAATATTCAGCTAGTTGAATAAACCGTTTCTTTATAATATATCAAGAAGTATTGAGTGTTAAAATAAAAATAAAACAATTTTCAAAGAAAAATTTATTTTTTTCACTTTTTATAACAAAAATATAAATAAATATTTTTAAATACTTATTTCATAAAAATTTGCTGAATATTAAAAAATAGCTGTATTTGGTACTTTTTTCTAGAAAAAGTACCTATTTGTAATATTATTTGGAATTTCATTGTTTTCCTTATTCGTTTTATTTTCTACTCAATAGAAGCTTACGCCGTTTTAAAGACAACTAGCCGCCGCCACATTTTTATATCTAGCTCTTTAAAAACTGTTTAATTTTAAATTATTATCATACAATTTCGAAATAGCAATTATTTTTCATAAAATTCTATGTAATTTGTTTAATTTTATTAAATTTTTCCATCTAAAATTTAAATTTTTATGCTACATCATTTTATTTAGCCGGTTGAGTTTTTTTTTGTAAAGACGGCGCTGTCACTTAACAAGTGTAACGCCGTTACTGAAAACTTTACTTGGCTTTGTTATGTGCTGTAGGCTCAGTCAAAAATTGATTTTTACGCTGCTTGCTTCCTTGGGAAGAAAAAAATCTTAAACGGAGTTTTTCTTTTTAAGAAAAATGTTATAAAACTCTTAGAAAATTGTTGCAAAATACAATAAAGTTTTAGTTTACATTCCAAAGAAGTTGATAGTTAAATAAAAAGAAAAGTATAGAGTGTACATAATTATAAAATTGTAATTTATTTAATAAGAAAAAAGTGACCTTAAAAAATTTGCAAAAAAAAGAAGTGCAAAAAAAGAAAATGACGTTTAAATAATAATTAAAACTATTAGAAATTAAAAGAATTGTTTAAATTGTGAAGAAATTGTTTAAATTTAAAGTTTTTTATTTGAATTTGTTAAATTTTGCAGTTAATTTCGTTAATTTTTATTAATTAACAAGATTTTATAAGTTTTCATGGCATTTTTTTTATATGTGAAAAAGAACATCTCTGTTTTTTCTTGCTGTTTTTTAGAAACAACCCTGTTTTTAACACTTGTTTTTGAGTGTATTTTCTTGTCTCACTCTCTCTGTCTGGCAAATGCATTGTATGTGGCTAATGATGAGTCGTCGCCGTTATGAATGACTCACATTAAATAAATTTATGTTGATTTATAGAAAAAGATAAACTATTAAATAATTTATTAAAAATTAATTAATATTATTAGCTAATTTGGGGTGTAAATAATGAAAATAAACCAATAATTTGTTAAAACAGAGATTTGTGTTCCATTTTTTCTGTGTGTGTTTTTTCGGTTTGAGTAATTTTGACAATTGTCATTATTTTCTATCTGACATTCTTTTGTTTTTCTTTTTACGTCTGTCTGACTTTTTTCGGAAATTCTTATTGGAAGTGGAGTAAAATACAAAGCAGACCAGAGAAGAGGCCAAGAAAAACCCTCATAAAGCAAAAAACGTAGTAAAATTGAATGTTAATCAAAAGCAAAGAGAATAAATGAAAAAAATCGAAATTTTAGTCGTGTAACGATTCGTAAACCTGATAGATACCAAAGATTTAAAACTCAGTGAAAAAAATTGTAAAAAATCCAAATTTATGTAAAAAAAGAAGTGTTAATTTAAACAATTTATTAATTAAACGTCTTTTTATTGTAGTAACAAATACCTAAAGTAAAAAAGAAATAAAAATTTATAAAAAAAAGTGTAGAAAAACATAAAATAAAAAAACCTACGAATTACCAAGTGAAGTTAGAACAAAAATTTCTGACACCTTTTTAAGGTGTTGGAAATTTTCTTGTTGGCTTTTTTTTTACAAAAAAAAAAAGAAAAAATTAAAAGAAAACCTAGTCTTTTGATTGCTTCAATAACATCCTCAACATGGAGAATTTAATTCCTATTGTTAATAAGCTGCAGGATGCCTTCACCCAACTGGGCGTGCACATGCAGCTAGATCTGCCCCAGATAGCGGTGGTAGGTGGTCAATCGGCCGGTAAAAGTTCCGTCTTGGAAAACTTTGTGGGCAAGTAAGTATTGTCTTATGAAATCAGGATATTATTGCTGTTTTATATAAACGATTTTTTTTCTTTCTTTCTTGAAATAATCAATGTTATCGTTGAGGGTTTTTCTCTTAGACTCCGCCCCCAGTTTTTCCTTACGTTAACATGTCGTATCTAGTTATTTTTCGGGTAGTTGTTGTTTTTTTCTAAGCCAATGCCAAATACAACAATCAAATGTGATATTGTTTGGTGAAAAATCAATGGCAATTTTCCTGCTGAAAATTCTTGCTGCTGCTCTCTCTACTTGACATTTTCTTTCATTGATTCTTCTTCTTGTTCTTTTTGTAATGCTCTCATTTTTTTCAGTATAGTTTTGTTGCTTTTGTACTTGTCCTTTAAGCAAAGTTAACGTTTTTTTTTTAACAAACACTATGGGTGTTTCCATAACAAATTGTAGGGTTGATTAATAAATTTTTAGCTTTTTAATAAAAATTAGAAAATTTTCTAAATAAATTGCTTAAAAATATTAAAATTGTATAAATAATTAATTTATAGTCACGATTTTAAAAAGTCTTTTAGGTCTTTGTTAATATTTTTCAATCCGTAAATTCTTCTATGTATGTAAGGACTTCTGGGTTTAAAATCGTTATTTGGCTATGTCTGGAGGTCTTTAACTTTATTCAATATATTGAAACCATTTATAACAAAGCAATACTTGAATTATTAAACGTCATCTTTAAGAAAGATCATAAATTACTTTTTTGTTGCTTTTTTCTTTGCTATTTCTTTTTGTAGTTTGTTTATTGATTTTGGCAATACATTAATATTTTTTTATACATTTAGGACAAAGTATATAAAACTGGTTTATAGAAGAAGATACAAAACATAAGAATCATTCAATATTTTTGGAATAATTAAATGTTTTGTTTTACATAATAACATTTTTGTTCATTTTTGTCATTTTATATAATATTTGCACAAAGTTTCGCCCAACAAATACATTTTTTATAAATAGAATATAGAACTGATTTAGAACAGAACTAGAACAACATAGATAAGATGTAGAACAGAATTAAATACGAACTAGAACAGAACTACAGCAGATCTAGAACAGAACTAGAACAGAACTAGAACAGGACTAGAACAGAACTAGAACAGAACTAGAACAGAACTAGAACAGAACTAGAACAGAACTAGAACAGAAATAGAACAGAACTAGAACAGAACTAGAACAGAACTAGAACAGAACTAGAACAGAACTAGAACAGAACTAGAACAGAACTAGAGCAGAACTAGAACAGAACTAGACAGAACTAGAACAGAACTAGAACAGAACTAGAACAGAACTAGAACAGAACTAGAACAGAACTAGAACAGAACTAGAACAGAACTAGAACAGAACTAGAACAGAACTAGAACAGGACTAGAACAGAACTAGAACAGAACTAGAACAGAACTAGAACAGAACTAGAACAGAACTAGAACAGAACTAGAACAGAACTAGAACAGAACTAGAACAGAACTAGAACAGAACTAGAACAGAACTAGAACAGAACTAGAACAGAACTAGAACAGAACTAGAACACAACTAGAACACAACTAGAACACAACTAGAACACAACTAGAACAGAACAAGAACACAATTAGAACAAAACTAGAACAGAACTAGAACAGAACTAGAACAGTACTAGAACAGAACTAGAACAGAACTAGAACAGAACTAGAACAGAACTAGAACAGAACTAGAACAGAACTAGAACAGATCTAGAACAGATCTAGAACAGAACTATAACAGAACTATAACAGAACTACAACAGAACTAGATCCGAACTAGAACAGAACTACATAGAAGAGAAGAGATGTCCAGTTATCGATAACTATTCTATCGAGAAGTCAAGTCATCGATAATTTTTCTTTACAGAAGCCAAGTTATCGATAACTTTTCTATAGAAAAGTCATGTTATCGACAATTTTTCTATAGAGAAGTCATGTTATCGATAACTTTTTATATAGAACAGTCATGTTATCGACAACTTTTCTATAGAGAAGTCAAGTTATCGACAAGATTTCTATAGAGATGTCAAGTTATCGACAACTTTTCTATGAGAGGTCATGTTATCGGCAATTTTTCTATAGAGAAGTCAAGTTATCGATTACTATTCTATATAGTCAAGTTATCGATAACTTGTCTATAGAGAAGTCAAGTTATCAATAACTTTTGTATAGAGAAGTCAAGTTATCGATAACATTTCTATAGAAAAGTCAAGTCAACGACAACTTTTCTATAGAGAAGTCAAGTTATCGATTACTTTTCCATAGAGAAGTCAAGCTATCAAAAACTTTTCTAAAGAGAAATCAAGTTATCAATAACTTCTCTATAGAGAAGTCAAGTTATCAATAACTTTTCTATACAGAAGCCAAGTTATCGATAACTTTTCTATACAGAAGTCATGATATCAACAAATTTTTATAGACAAGTCTGTAAAAATATAGAAATTTCTTTTTTCTTATTAAGGAAACCCCCATACATAAATTATTTATATCTTTAAATTCGTTATCTCATTCATATTTTGCTCTTTTATTATATTCTCCTCTTAATACATATTTCCATTCTTTATTGTTCTTGTTGTATAGTTATTTATATTTGACAGTAGTAAAGTGTGGTTTCTGTTGTTGTCGTTTTGTTTTTTTTTTTTTATCAAACAGTTGAATAAGAAGAAAAAATTCCAATATTTTCCAAGTATACCTAATTTTTTTAAAATAGTATTGGATTTTTTAAGTTCTTTAGTTGTTGCATTTCCATACTTCTTCATTTGAATTGTTTGTTTTTAAGCAAATTTGTTTAAAAATTTAATAAAATGTTAATTTTTTTGGTAAATGTTAATTGGCTTTGTTTATTAGTACCTTTCTATAAACTTATTTCCTCCATTTACTCCTTTTCATCTTGGTCTACTATATTTTTTTGCTTTGTTCCAACTTCATTCATGATTTCTTATTTTCTTAATAGGAGAGCAGAGTATTTCTACTATTTTTCTTAAGCTCTTTTTTTCTAAATTTATCTCTCTTATCACAAACTGTTTTTTTTTTTGGTTTGTAATATCCGCTTTTTGCTGTCTGTAAATGTAAGATTTTTTTGCTATTATTGTTGTAAAATCTGTGATAATATTTACAAATATTTATACACACTTGTAATTGAAAGAGAGGATAAAGAAAATTTACTCTTATTGAATAAAAAGGGGGAGTAAATTGTATATTTTACTATAGACACTTGTTTCTTTGTGTCGTATTGTTGTTGTTTGTGCATTTTTTGTATTGTTGTTTTTATAAGTGGTTGTAATCAAGTAGGGTTGCAGAATAAGGGATAATAAAATGGTACTTTTTCTTAAAACAAATGTTAGTTTTAGAGAAGAAATTAGTTCTAGTTCTGTTCCAGTGCTTTACTTCCCTATAGAAATGTTGTCGATAACTTGGCTTCTCTAAAGAAAACTTATCGATAACTTTACTTTTATAGTTCTAGTTCTGTTCTAGTTCTGTTCTAGTTCTGTTCTAGTTCTGTTCTAGTTCTGTTCTAGTTCTGTTCTAGTTCTGTTCTAGTTCTGTTCTAGTTCTGTTCTAGTTCTGTTCTAGTTCTGTTCTAGTTCTGTTCTAGTTTCTAGTTCTGTTCTAGTTCTGTTCTAGTTCTGTTCTAGTTCTGTTCTAGTTCTGTTCTAGTTCTGTTCTAGTTCTGTTCTAGTTCTGTTCTAGTTCTGTTCTAGTTCTGTTCTAGTTCTGTTCTAGTTCTGTTCTAGTTCTGTTCTAGTTCTGTTCTAGTTCTGTTCTAGTTCTGTTCTAGTTCTGTTCTAGTTCTGTTCTAGTTCTGTTCTAGTTCTGTTCTAGTTCTGTTCTAGTTCTGTTCTAGTTCTGTTCTAGTTCTGTTCTAGTTCTGTTCTAGTTCTGTTCTAGTTCTGTTCTAGTTCTGTTCTAGTTCTGTTCTAGTTCTGTTCTAGTTCTGTTCTAGTTCTGTTCTAGTTCTGTTCTAGTTCTGTTCTAGTTCTGTTCTAGTTCTGTTCTAGTTCTGTTCTAGTTCTGTTCTAGTTCTGTTCTAGTTCTGTTCTAGTTCTGTTCTAGTTCTGTTCTAGTTCTGTTCTAGTTCTGTTCTAGTTCTGTTCTAGTTCTGTTCTAGTTCTGTTCTAGTTCTGTTCTAGTTCTGTTCTAGTTCTGTTCGAGTTCTGTTCTAGTTCTGTTCTAGTTCTGTTCTAGTTCTGTTCTAGTTCTGTTCTAGTTCTGTTCTAGTTCTGTTCTAGTTCTGTTCTAGTTCTGTTCTAGTTCTGTTCTAGTTCTGTTCTAGTTCTGTTCTGTTCTAGTTCTGTTCTAGTTCTGTTCTAGTTCTGTTCTAGTTCTGTTCTAGTTCTGTTCTAGTTCTGTTCTAGTTCTGTTCTAGTTCTGTTCTGGTTCAGTTCTAGTTCTGTTCTAGTTCTTTTCTAGTTCTTTTCTAGTTATGTTTTAGTTATGTTCTAGTTCTGTTCTAGTTCTGTTCTAGCTCTGTTCTAGTTCTGTTCTGTTCTAGTTCTGTTCTAGTTCTTTTCTAATTCTATTCTAATTCATTTCTAGTTCTACCATAATTTAGGTACTTTCATCATAAATTTACCTCTTAAAAAGTACTTTTAAAAAACTATTTCTAAAACCACCCCTAATCAATTATTTCCATCAACTAAAATATTTTATTGTCTAAAATCTTCTGTTAAAGCATAACTAGAACCTACACATTTAAAATATTCATTGAATATTCAACAATATAACTACCCCATCAAACCCTCTAGACACATTACTTTCACATACCAACTTATAATAGTAACCACCACCCCCCTACGCAATATCGAAAACATCATATGCTTCAACGCCCCCTCCTCACATCTAGCACTCAAATAAAATCGATATAAAATGTAACAATTATTTACACTTTACTACCCTTGCTCTAAATCTGTGTATCAAGGAAAAATGTATAAAAATAAACTATAGGCACTTAAATTCCTCCCCATACCCAACGC